AGGTTTTAGATTGTCCAAAAACTGGTAAAATTTTGTGTTGAAACAGCAGTGGCTTGGAACAATAAAATTAAATGTTGATTTTAAAAACATTATCAGGATGCATTAGTTTTTTAGTAAAAGGAGGTAAATTCAATTGTTGAATCTTTACTTCACTTTTAAACAAAGTCGTAAATGACAGTTGTTAACGTGCAGCAAAAGAAACCATTAGTTACTGCCGTCTTACTGTTCCACAGCATAAACTTTTACTTTATACAATTTTAGACAAAAAAGACATTAAAAGTTGAAAGTAATGTCGTTAATTTACATAAAAAACTTGCCCGTATCCAACTAAGTAAACATTTGTAGTGAAACGTGTGGCCACACGGAATTGCCGATATATCCTCAATGTTCAAGTTCTCATAGCATATTACACAACTACCTCCAAAGAAAGCCATACAATTTCCACTATTTAAAAAATAGTTTTAAACTCAGAGGCAGTTTAATAATAGCATTCTACGGCTAATGAGAAGACCCGAACTGGTTAAAAAGCTCTCTGCGTTATTCGGTTCAAAAGTACGCTGTCTCAGATGGTTAACTACTGATAAGACATGTGTCTCAACACATGTTGCGAGTAACGGTCACTGCACAACTGTTAAAGTTTACAGCATGTGAGTGTACAAAGTGCTTTTTCAATATAGTTATGCGATCACATAACTGCTTGTACTACGAAATTCTCAGTCGAAGTTTTGTAGTGATCTTAAATATTTAAGGCATAACTGAATTTGAAACACACTGCAAAAGAAGGGAAGCAGCTAAGTTTGAAAAGCTTTATTGTTTCTTGTATTAAACTTGCACAGCGAAGAAGGCGGACTAAATATAAGGAAGGCAAAAGCTGGAATAAAAATTTTCAGTTTTTACAAAGCTTAAACGTTTAATACTGTTCTAGTGAGAAACGCAAAAGCAAAATCTGTTTTTTCCTCAAGATCACGCAGAACTTGCAATCGTGATATAAGATAATGTTGAGTGAAAGAAAAT